AATTGATGTTTTATGACATCCAATAATATTAACACTCATTTGTAAAGAGGAAAACAGCACTACATGAAAGATATAGTGCTCCAACAAAAAGTGGCTACTTGAATCCTGAAATAATAAAATTAAAAATGGAATCACTGAAACCAATTAAATTGAAGAATGCGGATTTAAACAACCTACAAATAAAAAAATTAATGAATTCGACCAGTTAATAATTCCTTAGAATATCTAAGGAAATTACGTGTTTATTGTATAACACATGATAGTTATCTGCATAATAATAATAATATTATTATTTATCATAATATGCGGAAATTACTGCAATTACTTTGGCTGTTGAAACATTCTAAGAAGATCGAGCTGTTTTATCCCAAAAATCCCAACAATGGAGAAATTGTGTCACATGTGACCAGGAATTTTGTCAATTACATATTTGATTCTAATCCGATTAGAAAAATATCCAATGATAATCAGATGCGAGCGCAGATTGTAACCACATCGGAAATTACAATCGAAGATCAGTCATGGGAGACAGTTGAATAATTATAGCCGCGCCATAATAATTTGCATAGGAAAAGCAGCCACATTGTAAAATTTCGCAAAGGCACAAATTTCATTGTAAAATAACGTTTTACACATCTCATTTGGTTATATTATGAATCTAAATCGTTTGAAATTAAAACAATTTTATTACTTTTTTTTTTTATTAATTAATTATTTATATTCTATAAAAATTTTTTATTGCAAAGATCAACTAGATGATTTTCCTTTGCAATTATTTTCTTATCTATTTATGTCAAAATCGAATTGGCAGGTTTCTTACAATTAATTAACATTTTATTGAAATTACATTACATTGTACCAACAATATATTAGAAATCTCTTTATCACAGAATAGAATATAAAATTTGTTAATTTTGTAACTTTGAAATCTTTAAGCATGATTCAAGTCTTAAATTTAAGACATAAAGTTTGAGTTAAAGAAGACTTTTTGTGTAGTATAATTTCAAATAACATGGATTAGAAATTGTTGAAATCACAATGTAGTGAAAAATTTGTAGATTGCGGATTTTCATGCAAATTCATAATTTTGAGAATGTAACAAAGAAAATAGAGCCTCGATAGGAAACTGTGTTACTAAATATTATAAAAAGCACTGTATCTTGAATATTTCATATATTTTTTCATATCATGTGCATTATGTGCAATTTCAACACTTGAAAATTTCTTACAGAATGCATAAAAATCCGTAGCTTAGTTATTACTCTTGTATAAATAAAATTTCAAAATTCAGTAAAATTTACATTTCTATATGATATTTGTAATTATATGTGTAGTTATAACAAACTGTGTGACATTAGCTATACTGCTGAATAATATCAGTAGTCAATTGAGACGAAATTTGAAATAATAGATCTGAAATATAAAATTTTAGCTTAGCGAAATCATATATTTCAAAAATACAAATCCCTATGTATAATATAGAATGATGAGCATAACTGCATCAATAACAATGAAAAATCGGTTATTTAAACTATTATATCTTTGTAAAAAATATGTATTTGATCCCGTTTTAAAACGTAAAGTCTTTTTAACAGAGTTTGTTTTTTTCAAAGATGTTTTCAATGCATGCAATTCCTTCTATAGAGACATAATCCCTTAAAATTTGCTGTACAATTTTTTACTGGAATTTTGATTATTAGAATTAAACAATAAAAATTCAAGAAATCCTAAAAGTTCAACAAAATGGTGAAAAAGAAAATTGCGTCGATACGATGTCAATTTTCAAGATTGCGGTGGATTTAGTTATGAAAAAAACTTTTTTAATATTTTTAGAAACGTTTGAATTTTTACTATTTTTGAAAGAAAAGTATCATTACTTTTTTTCAGCCACTACGAAATGAAAAATCATTTTTGAAAAAAACGAACTCAAGATTGTTAAAAGGCTTCACATTTTAAAATGAGATTAAATAAATTGTTATATGATTTTCTTTTTACAAAGTTATAATGGTTTAATTTATTGACATTTTTTCAGTTTAATTATTAATCCAGTTATGATCTTTAGTGTACTTTTGCTGCTATTAAGGAACATTCCAACGATCAATATATATTATGTATTTATATGTATTTATTATGTATTTTACTTACGAGAATACTGAGAACTTTGAAATATTGACAATATATATTGGTCATCTGAATATTCCATTTGGCAATTACTACACGTGAGCTATATATCTAAAGTTCAAGCATAAAAATATTAAATGAGCGAAAAAAATAATCAGATCATTTCAAAGAAGAATATCGACATTGATTTAAGCTAGATAACTACTGGTCAGCTTCGATCGACCGTTAATAATGTCATTAGATCGAATTCAGATGAATTCGGCATCACTGTAAAAGAACTGTTTTACCATCCGAACTGCGATGAACCGCTACTAAGATTTTAGATTTTAAATCTACCACTTCTTTTCACAAGAGCCACTAAACTTTTATTTCAATCAACCATCAGTACTTGGATATCATGGTTTTCCTGACACATTATATTCCGAAGTTAAGATTTTATAATTCAGGTCTACTAATTCATCAATGATATCCACCAAATTACGCCTCGATCGGCACCCATGCCATTTAGAGCAATCCTACTTTTCATAGTAATTATTAATGCATTTATCATTAAATTTCACATTAATTATCAGTGCATATACATTGTTTTGTCTTGTTCATACGGTCTAAATAAATAAACTGCGTTAGAGTACTGACACTATAGAAAATTGATTCAGAAGAGATACTTATTGCAAAGTAAAGTATTAGTAGTAAAGTAAAGACTTAGTATTTTGATTTGTACTCTATAAAGATGTGAAATATTTGAAATAATGAGTACGTAATTTAATGAGAATTTGATTGATGGTATGCGATCACATAAGGATGTCAGGGATGCATTTTAAGATTCTCATTTTTTTTCTTTTTTTTTTTTACAAATTAATGAAAAATGCCACGAAATTCTTTTATCTTAGCATTAAATTTCAGAACGTAAAAGAGGAGAGAGTGTACGTGTGTGTACATATATGATAGTATCAAGATGACGAAGGTTAATATTGATGGTTGACTCAAGATCAGAAATTGAGAATAATTCAGGAAATTAAAAAAGTTCATCCCAACTTATAAATATGCATACGTGGACAATATACAAATATTATTATTTTCTACCTCAATGGAAGACAAAAGACACAATGGAAGACAATTTCTGAATTTGTATTTTGTATCTCATCATCTATAGATTTTTCTTAGATTACACATGTGAATCTATTTAAGTTTAAATCAATCTTAAAAACAAACATAAAAATCAAACAAGAGTTAAAATGATTTGTTTAAAAGAGAAGAATAACAATATAGAAAAATGAAATTGGAAATATTCGGATCAAAATAAAGGATGCATAAAGTACAAAATGAATTTTCTAAAATAGTTAGAGATTGATTTGGATAAAGAAATAAGAAAATCGATAACAATGTACTTCAGATAAATTAAATGAAAATGTCTTTGGACAAAGAGATAAGTTTGATCACTATCAATTTAATTAAGCGGGTAAAAAATATGGAAGATATTTATAAGATATATGATATCAAAATAATGAAGAAAATTTGTCAAGATTTATGACATCAAGATAACGAAGGAAATTCATGTCATTTGTGGCTTATTTTTTGAATTATAAATAATTTAATTTTACGTTGGAAATACATTACCAATCATCATTCGTTAATGAATTATCAAAAAAACTTTTCTTCCTATTTCACTCATGTTCTATGTTCTTCACTCTAAAGGACAGTTGACAATTAAATTTCGTCTGTTATATTTAATTTATTTTAAAATGAGAAACACGAAATAGAAAGAAAGATACTTTATGTAGTTATTAGTACATTTTTAACATAAAATTAAATTGTTTATATCTTGTAAAATAAGCTTCAAACGTCATTTTTATACATTAATCGTCTTTATTATGTTGTTATCACATCTTATAAATCACATCCACTTTTTTAAAACATATATATACACTGTTTAAAAGTTTGGATTATAAATTGAATAAACTTCCTTTTATAAGTTTCTTTCTGAAACTTCTACATAAATTTTTCTAAGAAATAAGAATATTATAATTATAACTTTGATTTTTAAATATAATTAAGTAATGTCTCAATACTATAAAAAAAAAAAATTGTGTTAAAAATTATCATATCTTTTCTAATCTTAACGTGTTCCAAAGCAAAAGTGCATTATCCTGAACATAAAAAGAACACAAGTGATAGACTTTAGCACTTCACTACATTATACAGACAACATTATACTACACTATATGAACATATTTCCTCTCTCAATAAAATGCTGACAATGCTGATAAGAATATTTTTTTTCAAAAACACGATTAATATCTAATTTTCAATTTTATGAGTATTTATCTATGTCATCATTTGATTAAGAATTTTGAAATCTATATTGTCTATATTGTCAAAGAAAAACACACGTTTGAGAGAAAAATACAAAGATGAAAATAGATGAAATGAGATTCAAAGTTTTTGAGAATTAAATTAAAATCTTAGTAAAGAGTAAAAGATTTAAACTGGAACAAAAAAAAAAAAATCCAAAATTTTTAATTGCTATCTTGAGAGTTGCATATATATTCTGAATATAATATATATTATGAGTATATTTTAAGTATAATATATATTATATTCAGATGAAAATTTTATCTTTAATTTGGATAACTTAAGCTAATTAAATTGATCATTAGTCATTTAAATTTTTAATATTTAAATAACTTTTTTAAAAACATTCCATCATGCTACTGGAACGAAATTTAAAATCTAACAATGACTCACTCCACATATTGAAATAATGTTGAACATTTAAATTGAACATTTCATTTAACCTTCCAATAAACAATGCAACTTGGTTTCTTCATATGTTACTATTATAGTAAATATATTGGATTACAACTGTACTGACTTTAGGAAATATTTATATTTTGATTTAAAGTATATACAAGATATATATTTTCAAACGATACGATTTAAATGATGTTTCAATTTTTTGAAAACATTCAAAGTTCAAAATATTTTTTGTTTCGAAATTTTTTTGTCCATTTATGTAATTACTAGTCAAAGAGTTAACAAAATTATATCATACAAAATTTCAGTTTTCTATCGTATTTCTTATGTTTTTTTAGGAACACTTTTTTTATATAAATAATTTTTTATATTTCTAATAGCTTGAAAATTAATGATATATACACTTAAACTGTATATACTGTATATACTGTGTATCACTGTAAGAACTATAATCTTGCATGTTTTATATGAATTTAAAGACATTGTGCCTTTAATGTGGATAACATTATCATACATGATGTAACATGATGAACGTATGAAAATTTTATAGGAACATGTTTTCATTTTCAAAATTTAAATGAATTAATGAATATGATCATTCAAAGAATTACAAGATATATCAGTTTTGTCATTTTTGAATTTTGTTACTGTACATTCTTTCAATAGCTTGGTATGATCATAGCTATTGAACTTTCTTGATAATGTATTAGAAATAGTAATTCCATCTGCTGTCAAAAAACTGGAACTATCTAAAATTCTATTGTTTTCTAAATTTACATTTTTTTCAGAGTTATCTGTTCTAAATGTATTATTTAAACTATGGTCAAATGTATTGAGATCATTTTGGATACTTTTAATAGTGTCAATATTATTTTCGTATCGTCGTAGTAAATTATTTTCGTTTTCATACCTACGATGTATTGAACCAGAATCTAGACGTTTTCTAAATGTTTCATCGTATGATCGTTGATCCTCTATTCGTCTGGAAAATCCGTTGTCATAACAATGATTTGTTTCTACATAGTGCTGATTTAAACTGTCTATTTCATAAGCACGTTTTGTTAATTGACTTTCAAATCCAGCTCTAGCAGCTAAATGAAGGTAATTATCATCACCAATTGGAGCTTGCCTATAATAATAATTTTAAAAATATTTTAACTATATATTAGACACACAAATAATAAAATTCAATTACTATGGTGAAATTGTAATTAGAAAATGTTATATTAATTATCTATTAACTATCTAATATACATTATTATTTTAATATCAAAGAATATAATATAATTTTAATAAACTTACTTGCTTCCATATTTAGTATCGCGTGCTAATTTTCTAAAATAAGCTCTATGCTCGTGCTGTAAAGCATATGCAGCTTCTCTTAATGCAGTTAAAGTTTTAAAACAAGAGGGCACATCTTCTATAAGAGATCCACCACCCGGTATAATACACATGTCATTAGCTCCATAAACAGCTTGACATTCACACGCATTCATTAATGTTTCAAGTCGCGGCATATTTGTAAATATTAAAGAATGTATTCGCTGCAAATCTCGATCTGGATCTAGCACCATACGCAATCCAGCTTCTACTCCCGGTGATACTTCACTGCATCCTGGAGCAATTTCTGCTACTGCTTTGCAACTATAAGCAATATTTATTAATAATTGAAAGATATATTAATATAAATTATATTTAATGACATACCACAGCCAATGGCCATTAACATATGCACTCGGATGATATTTTTCTAATCGATTACTATTTGTATGACAAATTTTTGTTAAAATATCAATCCACTCTTTTTCCTCAACACAATTTCCTGCTTGAATATATAATGCCCTTTGTGATTGAATAATTTGAAACATATTTTTCATCTTAAATGAATCTTCTTGAAGTTTTTCAACAGCTAATATTTCTTCAAGTGGTATTTTACATAAAGGTTCTTTACCTATGGAATATATTATCAAATATTATTTTATAAAGATTAATAAAACTCATCATAACACTAATTTTTCAATTAAAAATTTTAAACACTAATTTTTTAAAAATTAATATATTTCATTTACCTTTTGTTTTTGAATAAGTCAGATCTTGTGTAGTAAGTCTAAAGTATCTTTGTTTAAAATTTTTTCGACCAAATCTTTTTCTACCTTGTGCCCTTTTAATCATTATTCTGTAAGTAAGTAATAACAGTAAATAAAATATGAAAATTTATATTTTATATAAAATGTGTAAAAATTTCAAATATAAAATATTATTACAAACCTCTTCTTACAATCAGCAGTATGCATGAAGAGAAAATATATTCTATTATAAATACTTTTTGTTAGCAACAATTATATTTATGATTGAAAAATATTATTTAATTTGCCTTGTTAAAATTAATATTTGATGAATAGATAAAAAAGTTATATATAAATGATATTTAAAAATTTTTAATTGTTATATTATTTAAAACTTAATGCAGATGAGTAACTTAATTCGTGCGACTTTATTTCTTCATTTGAATATTATAACATTCACAAATATTCTAATAACTCAAAAAAGAATTAAGACAATTAATTTTCATTTGTCACAATACTGCCTGCTTATTTGTTTTCTTGTATAATTTAGTGCATTATTGAAATGTATGGAAAATAATCTCGCAAGAAAATTTGCTCATCTATATCGAGTCCAAAATATTTATTTTTCAAATATAAAATAAAGAAATAAACAAGTAATAGCTATAATAAAAGTATATTAATATATGTTAACATAATCATTATACATACCCTTCTTTCAATACGATTGGTTGTTCTTGTTGAGTATTTATTCGTTGTTTTGCAATACCGCTATTACTACTGGTCGATATCAATTCTAAAAATTGCTTAACCGCTTGTATATGCTTTTCTGTATAAAATTCTCTGAAAAAGCAATATTTAAATAATAATTTGGTTTGTAAATAATAAAAATTTATTTACAAACCAAATCACGAAATGTACTTATTTCTAATGTACCTGTACACGCATTCCATATATTCTTCTTTACAAACACTACCAGCTCCACCTCTACAACTTACTAAATTTCCCAAACTCTGAATTGTTTTAGAAATTAATGTTAATGTTCTATTAGTTTGGAAATCCTGAAATAAATAATAATAATATATCTCAATTTCAGTAGAAATCACCAATATTGTTTCTTTCTTCAATGACAGTCTTACAATTTGTTCAGTAGTAATATCAAATAATCTTGGACCCAATATTGCAGGTGCAAAAAATCGTAAAAAAATAAATCCACTGATGACTGAATATCTTACTTCCTTATTTTTTGGAAAATGTGTTGCTGCTAGTTCTCTTAAACACCAGAACATTTCACACATTAATGGTGGACACCGTACACCAGACGTAGTAATAGCAGTAAATACCCTCTGAACATATTCCTATTAAATTATAAAATAGTTTAATTAATATTATTCAACAGAATAACATTATACGCAAAATTTATTATTTATTATATTATATTAGTAGAGTTATTATTATACAATAATTTGCTTTTTTACTTACTTTTAAATTTGTCAAGTTGGTTTGAATTGTATTTGCATCCTTTACTCTTGTTGGATCTATTTCACATGGTTTTTTCTCCAGAAAAACTTGTTCCATAGCCGGTCTAAGCGTACTGTGTAAATAATGAAGGCCTGCTAATCTCATACCTTCATCCATCATTTTGCTTACTAATGTATTACCACGAAATATTGTTGTTGGATCACTTCAATAAAAATTATAAATTATATTATATATGTAAATAATACGTGGTATTTTATAGTATGTATGTAATATACAGGACATTAAGTAGCAACAATATCAGAGATAAATTCGATTCACCCAAGGATGGGAGGTGATTCCTTATGAAAAAAATAAGAACGAAATATAGAATAAAATGTTTTCATTTAAGGCTTTATTTTAGAGAAAATCGAATTTGAAAATTTATTAAACATACTTGAATTTTGCTTCTACATTGGGTAAAAATTTTTGTCTGTTCCACAATTAATTAACTTTTATATTTTATTTAATATTCTATATTTTTCGATATTTTTTTTTATTTTTTCACAAGGATTCATCTTTGATATATTTTTTGCCACACTTTACATAGCTATACATCAGTAATAAAAATATATAGGATAAATCTTTAAAAATTTTAAAAAATTTAAGATTACTTAAAGATTACTTAAGGAAATTAAAATATTCTCAAAATTATTAACTATATTGTAAAATATTTGAAACAAAATTAAATGATTTTAAGAAGAGCATTCTTTAATATATCTAACAATTCTGAAAATGAACATATATATTATGTATAGAATCATGTGCAAAATCACAATATAATATTTGATGCATAAAATTCCGTCTCAGCATTCCCATAAAAAATGTTAATTTATATATTTTGAAAAAGCATTAATTTAGTAAATATTTGAATTTTAATTTTATAAAATCTTACATAGTAAGATACAAAACAATAGAATTATATTTATATTTTTTTATTTCCATTATATTAATCCGTTTCGCGTCTTTTCTTGCTTTACATATGATAAATTTTAAAACTAAAATTAAAATTTAAAATTAATTTTAAAATTAAAATTAAAATATCGGCTAAACTAGGTTAATACTTTTTTTATAGAGAATGCTCAGATGAATCAATTAATATATTAAAAGAAACGAATCAATATATTAAAAGATTCTTGTATTTAAAAAAATAAGATTAACTTTTATATATTCTCAACTAAGCTCAGCTCTTTTTAATTAATTAATTAAGTTACTATATTCTTAAAAAAGAAAAATATCTCCTTCGAAATATTTTTTGATATAATTAATAGTTTTAAAAATATTTTAATTTTCAATTTTAAATAATTTACTTGGAATAAATAAAATTAAAAATTTGCTAAAACAATTCATTTCAACAAAGAGTTAAAATTATATTTAGATCTATAGTTTTATCTCAAAATTTTTCAATTTAATAAGTTAATAGTAAATAAGTATTTACACAAACATTTAATTATAAATATTGAATGCAACAACTCCAGAAAATGAGCTAATCAAAGTAGATTACGTTTACCAAAAAAAACTTTATCTAAATTAGTTTTTAATTATTGCTAAACTAGTCTTTAATTTTTTATTAAAATGAGAATATTTTAAAAATTTGTATTATTAATATTTTATTACCAATGAGGAATTCACATATGTTTGTTCATAATATTATTTTTTCAGATTATCTGTTATCAGACTATTATGATCAACAATTTGTGTATATTATACTAAATACGTATATAATTTATTAAAATTAAGACTGCACTTATTTACTTACGTTAATTTAGAAATTTCATGACTAGCTAAAGCTCTCATTACAGAAACCAATTGTCCATAGTGTACTAATACCCTAACTAATGGTTGAGCAGCTTCCATTTTACTTGCCACAATTTCTCCCAAAATATAAACAGCAGAAGATGTTATTGGTTGAATATTGATACTTTGTAATAACAAACTCCTTAATCTATCATACATTACTGATGGAAAAACATGATCCGCTGTATAATGTATCTTTAATCGCAAAGATCCCAAGCCTGGAAGTGCACCAGGCGATGTAGAACTGTTTGAAATTTTATTTGGACGATGTTTCACTTGTCGAGGTTGCAAAAAATACCTGATAACAATAAAAATTGCATAATTGCAATATAATTACAATCGTATCATAAAATTTTTGAATTTGAAAAATATACAAAAGTTAATAATAAAAATCATTTTGAAAATAAATATAAAAATTACCATGCAGTTGTTGTGTTAGTTGGTTGTTTTTGCAAGCCTTTTAAAGTAACTCTAACTTCACCAAGAAAAGCTGGTTGTTCTCCCATACCGGAAGATGCATGCCATAAGCCTATAACTACTTCACCAATTTCACCACGTTCAAGAGGATAATGTGAAATATCCTTCTCTTTGGGTTCTATAATTTCTGGCTATAAATAAAATTTAAAATAAGCTGTAATTGTTCAAATGAAAATGAAAATTTTATGCAGTTAAAATATAATTAGACGATAATAAAATACATAAATATATTTATGAACTAGTTAATTTTACCTCAAAAATAAATGTTTCATTAAAATATGGAGATACTGTTTTCTTTTTAATTTTTGTGCGTTTTAATACTTGTTTACCATTACTATAGTTAACTGTAACGGTTGCAAAAGGATCACAACCACTGTTTTTAACAGTTAATTCGCTACATTCTATTATCCTACAAAAAAAAAAAAACAATTATGGTTATTATCATTAGAAATTAGAAATTTTCAACTTATCTTAATAATTATATTTTATTTTATATTTATCTTGATAACTAAGTATTTTCAATTTACCTTGATAAATAATTATAGAGTGACTCATTTTATTTCAAACATTGGACAACAATATTACACATGAAACAAAACTCTATGCAAATATGTGTATACTTACATATATATGTATGTAAGCATACATATACATCATAATTCTATATTTAATGTAATAGCATTTAAAAAAACAACTTGTTAGCAATACTTTTTAATTATTTATTGAATTAAATTACCTTACTGTAAGCTTAGGTTGACTGTATCCAGTTTGAGATTGAAGAGCAAGTTCCAGATGTGCTTTACCTTGCACTTCAGAATCAGCATCAACTGGTCTCAAGGGAAACCAGTGTTCCTTATTATGATATGCTGTTAAATCTTCTCTTTTTATTGCTACCTTACCCAAAATTTTATCTTGTTTTAAATGTCTATCACGGTCGTAAACATAAATGCCAAGATAACGAAATTTTCTAGGTATTTCAAATTGAAATTCTTCTCCAAAAAATGGACTACATTAAAATACAAACACTTTATGTAGATATTTATGTAAGAATTTAATAAGTCAGTTTTGAACAAATATAGAAATAAAATTTACTTGAGAGTTCTTTCCATTGTTGTTGTTCTAAATATTTCCTCTTGATCAAGAGATAATACACAATAAACGTCTCTTGCACCGGGAAATCCATGGCTTCTGCTTTGTAAATTTTTCACTTCACCTAAATATAATAAAATAAATATCTCTTTATAAACTAAATGTTTATTTGATACAATTAATAGACTGAATTAATTTTCCACTTGCATAAATAAATACAATTTTGTATTCTCATAAAAATAAAAAATATAAACTTCTGTAACATTAAAAAAATTATTTTTTTACAAAATTAATTAACAAGAATTTTGTCAAATTGTTTCTATTAATATTTAATGTTCAAAACATTTTAAATATTAGTAACAACTGATACATTTCAATGATTAAGGAATAATAATAATAAAACTTGTAAAAATAAATTCAAATAATAAATTAATAATATTAATAATATTAACCTTGTCTAATTATAATATCTAATTATAATTTATTTATTTCATTATATGTATATAAAAGTCAAACAATCCTATTTAAGTAATATATTGCAATGAAAATATTGCACATCAAGAAATGTATATAATTTAAAAGAAAAAATAATAATAAGTTAAAAAGATATGGAGAAAATATATATAAAGAATATCATTTTTATGTAATAAAATTTTTTTCTTGTAAGCTATAACAAATACAATAAATAAGACATTGTTTACTGTGATATGAATGTGTATAGAACTGTATCGTAAACTAAACTAAATAATTCTCGACACATTTTGAATTGAAATAAAGAAGGAAATTCATAATTGCTAATCATGTGTGACGAACTTAATTAATATCTTTATATTACAAAAAGATCTTCAATAGTAATAAGTATAATCAATTCTTTTTAGTGATAGCTAACTAAAAAGCATATATTCGCGCAGGGACAACGATGCGTGGGAGTCGAAAATGTACGCTTACGTGTGTTGATCACTAAAGTTTAGCAGAAATATCATTACTATACGACTGTACAACGGATTTGACAAGTTCGTATACGATAAAATGATTTGTAAAATAGCATCTTTCATTTGAACAGTAAAATTAAATAATCGAAAGAAATCGAATTCGGTATAAACCCGAGCCCCAAACAAGTAGCACGCGTGTAATAACACCTCAAACTTTTTTGAAGTAATGATATTTTATTGTAATATCAATGCATCACACAGCTCTTGCCAACTTCACATTCTTAGTAAACGATGTTCTTAACAAACTTTCGTACCGATTTTAATCTTTAGTCTTTCTTCAACGCGAACTAGGCGCGTCCCTTCAGCCATGATACCTCCATGACACTACTGAGTGAGTACATGAACAGAATACAAAGCGGTACGTTCATTCTGTGAATGGATTTTAAACAGGATCGTGCCAAGTTACACGTGCGCCCAACCTTAAATAACATGCACATTGAAATTTGTAGTTAACGTGTGTAAAATAGAAATAAGTTTGTAAAAATATGTGACAAAAGTTTATGTATAATTTTGTTACTTATTAATTTAAACAAAAAATGAAAAAGTTGTTCTAGTATTAATCTAAAAGAATATTATTTCTTCGTTACGAAAACTATAATTATAAAGTTACAAAATAAGTAATATTGTTTATTTTCAAAATATTGCATTTACTTACATTTTATCAATTATCTGTATTATTTACATGTATATTCATAATATATCTGTATGATATATTATATTGTTAAACTATAAGAAATGTTTAAATTTACATTTTTCTTCTAATAAGAAAATTGAAAGTAATTATTAAGAAATATAATAATAATAATACCATTAAAAATTATAAATTATAAAGTTGTTTCAACGTAGTACTAAGTATTTAATATTATTTGTGTTATATTTTATACATTTTATAATTTCTCATTTTTTCTGAGTGATAAAAGTAAATCAATCGAGCAATCAAATATGCATGTGTATCTGTCCGTGCATATACACAAATATAGAAATTGAAAATTCGTGAAATCGAACTCGAATGAATAGTAGAGATATTGTACATCTAAATTTTCTGTACTACTTTATATTAAAGCATAATGAAAGAGAATATTAATAAACTGCATACATATTAGAGTACATTTTATATTGAAGTATGAAATTACATATCTAAGTTTTAAGGAATAGAGAGAGGCATATTTATATAGTTAAATGGTCAGATATTCATTGTATACACTATCGTTCAAAAGTAGCCGAATATTTATTTATTCTAGATAAAATATTTTAATTAAAAAAATGTAGATAAATCGGACTGCAATAATTTTATTTTTTATAATTTTCGCATAATAAATATATAATAGTAGAATTAAATCAGTTTTTAAAAGCTAGCTTTTAAAAGTGTTTAAATTATCAAAATTTATAAATCTAGAGTTTTATTTTTAGACTCGTTAATTTCTGAATTATAAATCAAATTTCTGGTATTAATATTTCAATAGTACACACAATTATATAAATATAATAGTTAATATTTGAATGGCATATATTATTACTATGTCTTTAATTAAAAAGTAATACAAATTTATAATCTGCTAATTACATAAAAGATATTAGGTAACCTTACAATTATTAATTCATCACTAACTTGTATATTTTTGTCACAGTGAAATTGTAAATTATTGTTTGAATACTTGTGTACATGATGTACAAAGTAAAATTACTATGTACTCCTATGATTTGCTATCCTTCTCATCACATCAGTCTTGACCGCTATCTATATTCTATCTTTATTTCAATGCGAAAAGTTTGCCTGCCTGTCATAGAATGAGAACAAACCTCTATGTTGAAGTATGGTTAACTGCACTCGTGTAAGTGGTGAGGCACTTCCTGATGGCGCAATAGCCCGTTTCCTCTCCTCTGCGTTTATTCCTCACTCTTTGTGAAACTCTATAAACCATATTGCCTTTCTCTTCCTCTTTTGTCATTCCTCTTTTCCTTGTTTGACTTTTTTTTGTTATCATTATTACACAACTACAATAAAATAATAACAATAGTAAATAACGTGTATAATAAATTAATTTTATTTATTTTCTATATCTGCATATATCAACATAAAATAAAAAAATAATATTTATATATATAAATGTTATGAATATCGAAATATATAAATTACAGTATATAAATGAGGCTATAAAAATATTCAAATAAATAATACCCAAAAAATAAAAATATTCAATTGAATAAAATATTAATAATAATATATTAATTGTAGTTACTTTAAATGTAATTATTTACTATACTGTATATATGTTATTTACTATTGTACGTATTGTATGTATGTTATTTGCTAATTCAAATGTATCAAATTTTGTATTATTTGATTTCATACTGGTTATAAAAATTTGTTACTGTGAAAATAAAATGTAATATATATTTTAAATTTATATTTATATTTAAAGTATTATCAAATGATATGAAATTCAATATATTTGGATTCAATTAATTAGTAAATAAATTTTACAATAAATACAATACCAATATTTTTTGTAACCAATGAATTTGGCAAATAATAAAAAATAGCAATGATTTTAATTTCTAAAGAATATTTTATAATTGTCATTTTCTTTATCTAAATAAATGTATTATTATTAATAATATTTTCTCACTAAATAATCTGTGCTAATTTTTGTTATTTCTATTGAAAATGAATTTTCATGAATAAAATTCATAAAGATAAACAAAAGATATCTGAACATTCTTTTATGCTAAATTATATATTATATAGATAAATTATTGAGATTTACAATTATTACAATTTATTAAAAATTATTTGTTATTCTACATTAATTAAATTTATATTGAAGCTTGATATTTTATTTATGTATTTTATAATAAAAGTTTTATTATAAAAATTTTTCGTATCTTGTTCGCATAATACGAACATATAAACATTAATACGATGTACGTATGCAGTTATACTGTATATATTTAAGGCTAAAGAAAATTATTGGTAAATGCATGTAATCTAGTATAGACTGCAACTTAGTCAACTAGGTGTCAGAATCTTCTTATGCAAAATTTTTATAAAGAACCTAATTTAAAATAATTGTTTTTCTTATATATAAATCTTATACATAAATCATTCGGATTGGTTTGTTTCTATAACAGAGTCAAAGAAAAATTAAAACCTGTCTACATTGCCAATATATCGTGTTCGAGGTATCTACAATGCCCTTGATGGATCAATCTCTCAATAATTGCATCTCGACGCTTGATCTATTCGCAATATCCGTTTATAAATTTGTATTAATGGAATATATCTAAAATAAAAAAAAAAGAAAATCTTATGAATATCGTCTTTATTAAGAACATACATCTATCTCAAATTAAATCTAAGATCATAACTTTGAAATGATCATAACTTTGGAAGAATTTGGAATGAAAGATTTTTTCAATGATAAGTTTTCCATTGATATACTACATTGACATATAATATTGGTTGTACTAAATATTATAATTATTATAATTTCTGTCAATGACTGCAATGTTAAAAATATAAATATAAATAGAGTAAATATTTTAATACTTTTAATATTATTCAATATTATGATTCAAAGAATCCCGAAGAAGTAATATTATAAATAATATTTGTAAAAAAAAGATTAGAGTAAATATAAAAAAATCTAAAACTTTCATAATTTTTCTAATATGTTGTTTACGTCATCAACCTGAATAGTGTTACGAATTGGCGGACGTTTATTAAAAAGTTAATTAATAAAAAAAATTTACTTAATTAATTTGTATTTTTGTTCCAAATTATTAGTACGTTTGTATTAAAAAAATAGTTATGTATATCACAACTGTGTATCATAACTTATTTAATAAAATAAAATAAGTTTATTTTTAACATAAAAATGAGAACTGGAGAACTGGAATTTTCTCTGCATCTTCGCCTCGAAAAAGATCTAATCTATTCCAATTTTAATTTCATCAAAAATAAGCCCAAATCTATTTTTGAATAAATTCTGACTAAATTAAAATTGAATTTGAATTACGTTAAATCTTTTCCGAGAGGGAGAACTCGAAAGGAATTTCTATTTCAAGGTCAAATTTTGTATGTTTGCATCGTATTCTACGTATTGCGGGGACCAAATGAAATCATGGGTCGCAAATAGCTCGATTTCTTGAAAAATTCTTAAACATTCTTAAAATTTCATTCAGCTTTTATATGCTAAATATAGTAAACTAGAACTATGAAATTTGATTAAGTAATAAATGCGAATAACTATTAAATGCGAATGGTGTGTTGAAAATTTTGCATTTTTTTGATAAACAACGTACAATAACTAAAACTTTTACGACAATAAATTTAATTAATTAAAATTAATTAATAAATTTATTAATTAATAAAATTATTGAAATTGGAGGATAGTCCTTTTTTTATAAATATTTATCAAAATCATAATAAATTCTGAAAAGTTTTTAAATATTTAATTAAATCAGTAATATTTAATTTTCATTTCTATAAGAATTATATTATCAAACAAGTGTTCATTTAAAGTAAACGAGAGACTCATATATATGTATATGTATGTGTATACATGTATATATGTATATATGTATATATGTGTAATTATAACTATATTAGATTATACATGTGTAATTATAATCTAGTATAATCTATAATCTAGTATAATCTATTATAATAGTATAATCTATTATACATACTATAATATGCATAATATAATAACTATATTACATTATACATATAACTATACATTATACATACATATAACATATATATAACTATATTACATTATTAATTATAACTAATCCTTTTGATACAATTTATTTATGACAATTTTTGAGAGAATGTTTAACATATATTATGTTATATATATTAATGAGATAAAACTAGCTTTTAAATTACAATCAAGCAATTTATTTTATTAATTTTAAGCATTAAATATTGGAATTTATAAATAATTTAATATTTTAAATTTGGGATTTATAATAATTTAATAATTTAATATTAAGAGTTTATTTAATTTATAAATAATTTAATATACAAATTATATACTTTTACACAAAAAGTTCAACAGACCTTAATTTATTAATATAAATTCATCAATTTAGAATTAAATAATATGTTAAAAATTATCACATAATTGTCATTATTTTATAAAATGTTATCTTATTTTTGTATACAGGAACAGTAGAAATTTTCCAATTGTGCATCTCGTTTTCACTATAAAATTTTTTTAAATCTTTAAATTTTTTAGAGAAAAGTTAATTTTGCAAGCTGCAATAAAAAAAAATAAAAAAATAAAATATTTCAGTATAAATATAAAATTTTAATATT